CTCCAGCCCCGACAGCCGCCGTCACTGGGGGGCGCGCGGACCCCGCTCGGCCTCCGCCTCGTCGGCCTCGTCCGTCGCTTCGGCCTCCGGCGGCTCCCCGGGCCGCGGCTCAGCGCGCAGAGCCCGCGCCCACGACGTGGAAATGGTGGGCCAGCTCGTGGGCATCATGGTGGTGTCGTGCATCTGCTGGAGCCCGCTGCTGGTGAGGGGCGCGCCCCTCCAACCATGCTCCTTCCCTCCCTGACCCTGCCCACCCTTTTTCCTCCTAACATATCTGGGTCTTCCGTCCCTTCCCCAACCAGGGCCCCGCCCCCTTGAGGCCCCGCCTGTCAAGAGCCCGCCCTTTGCTCTCTCCCCGTGACGTCCCACCCCTCCTCCCTGGGGTCTTCGTAGTTCACCCCACCCATGCGAGCCTCCTCTCCAGCCACGTCCCTCTAGGCCCTGCCGCTTCATTCTCTAGTCCCCTTCCACCACCACCTCCCCCGTTTCTCTTCTCTCCTCCAGTCCCCTGTCCTTCGGGATACCTGGGACTTCCCTCCTTTCTTGCCCGAGCCCACGTCTGCTGAAGGCTTTAGTTTCTGGCACGCTAAGGTCCCGCTTCCTCGCCCCTCTTTCCATACACAGCTCCTCCCCACGAAGACCCCCATTTACCCGCCGTGTGACGCCCCGCCGCTCCCCACAGCCCCCGCCCCCTCCCATTCGCCCAGCCCTCCCCGACAGCCGCCCGGCGCTCACGCCGGCTTCTCCCGCAGGTGCTGGTGGTGCTGGCTGTCGGGGGCTGGGGCCCCGGCTCCCTGCAGCGGCCGCTGTTTTTGGCCGTGCGCCTCGCCTCATGGAACCAGATCCTGGACCCCTGGGTGTACATCCTGCTGCGCCAGGCCGTGCTGCGCCAGCTGCTCCGCCTCCTGCCCCTGAGGGCTGGCACCAAGGGCGGCCCCGCGGGGCCTGGCCCAACCAGGAGCGCCTGGGACGCCAGCTCGCTGCGCAGCTCCCGACACAGCAGTCTCAGCCACTTCTAGGCGCCCGGAGCCCCAGCGGCTAAGCCCACCACCCCGGGCCGGCCCGGGTCCGCAGCGCGGAGCCTTCAGGGAATAAGGCCGTTTTGTGGACACGCCCAGGGCGGTGTGCGCCGTCGGGGCTGCAGCACCCTGGCGGCCGCGCGGCGCCTCTGCGGAGCGCAGTTCCGGGACTCGCCACGCGGGGGCGCACAGACCGGAGCCCAGCTGCGCGAGCATGCGCACAACGCCGCGGCCCCGGGCTGGGGCTCCGCCGGAGCAGAGTGGGGGCTTCGAGGGGCGCTTCTTGCCCCTGGCGCCGCCGGCACTGACTCTCGCAACCATTCGCTCATAACGGCCCTGGGCTCCCCCGACACAGCCCCAAGGCCCTACCCCTAAACCACATTCCATCACAGCCGCGAGCCCCCTCCCACCGCGGCCTGCCCACGCTCCCCACCCCAGTAACAGTCCCCGGCACCCCTCCCCTGACCCTCTTCAGATGACCCCCACGTAACCCAGAGCGTCTGCCTGTCACTCACCATGCATCCGGCCACCCATCGGATCCGTCCCCCCAACCCTCCCCACCTCCAAGCACGGCCCCCACCACCATTACCGTAGCCCCCCACGATTACCAC